ATCCACACACAAAACTTCCTGTTTACAAGACTTCAGAGGCCGCTTTACAAGCAGAAAGGAATCCAGAGAAGTATCATACACATTTTGCTATGAACTTCAAGAAATTCCGTTTTTCTGCAAGGATTGTGTGGTATTTGATTGACCGGGACAGGAATCATTTGGAGAGTTTTCTTCACAACTCCAATAGTAGATTTGTGCAACATGCATGCTATCAACTTCGTGAGTATGTTCAGGCGCGTGTTGCAGTTTCTGATCCCTTGTATGAGATGATCAAGAAGGAAGAGTTTGAACGCCAATACAATTCCAAGTTTTTGGAGGCGATTTCTTGCTCTCGTGTTGTAGTTGAGCCTGTAAGTTCAGGGGCGTATGAGTCATCATCGAAGCTGAACTTAAAGGTACTACAAGACATCCTGAAGGGTATCTTCAAGATCCAGAAGGATGAGGAGCTTGCCAAGGAACGTGATGAAGAAGAAGAACAGGCAGCTCAAAACATCTCATACCTGTTGGCAGATGATATGGAGCTTGATTTTGATAATGATGATGTTCCAGTATGGCGCTCCATTGTCGACAAGTATAGAGGAGGTGATCAGGTGCTACAGGGAGAAGCTGTGAAGATTACTCACCTGTTCAGGGATAAAAAGGACAATGAGAAGGCGACAGAAGCTTTCAGTTCAGAGAGGACAGATTTTTATGAGACCTCAGGACCTCTTCCAAGAACCGAGGGAGAAAATCTTGTAGAGGACTTGCTCACCAAGGATGTTGCAGAACAAGCTTTTGAAGTAGGTGAAGAAGTTCCTCCTTATACAAGAGTCTCCACTATCGCTGGTGGAATCTATACTGGAAGTATGACACTTCTAGAAGATGAGAATATGGAAGAGGAAGTTCCTGAAGAAGATCCTGCAGTTGAACCTGAAAAGGAAGAAGAAATTTTTGATGAGAATGCAGGTGTCTTTCCTTCAGAGGAACCAAAGATGGAAGACGACCAGGAGGAAGCCAAGGAAGAGTCAACACCACACTTTCTGTCAAGAGAGATAGGTGAAGACTCAACTGCATCGCACTTACCATCAGGTGAGATGGATGCTAACCTTGATGATACTTCAGGTCAGCGGAAATCGAAGAGAAGCCGCCTGAATAAGATTCCTGATCCTCATTTTCATGAAGAAGTTCAGGATGATGCAACCATGGAAGAGAAGAAAGAGGCGGTGGAGAAAATAAAAGAGGTCAGAGAGGATGATGGAGAGAAGAAATTGGAGGCTGAAATCCAAGAATCTTTTCCATCTGAAGTAGTTGTTGAAAAGGATACAACAAAAGTTGACAATACCTATGAGTTGCACACTTCACCTTTAAGGTTGCTTGGAGAGCTTACAGGAGATCCAGGTATTGGCTTTTATCAACTATGCTTCAGGGAAACTCATGCAAGATTGCTGAATCATGTTTGTTTCAGAAAAGGTGAGATTTCCCATCCTCATTATCAGTCAAGGATCAACGAGAATGATTTTGTTCGATCCATTCGCAATATCTGTCCAGTACCTCCACCTGATTGTTATGAACATGAACCAGAGCATGATTTGAAGAGATTCTTCATCAATGATGACCGCATCATTTATTTGGATGGCAGGTATCAGGTCGATCCAAAGGCCCTTGAAAGGGCAGGTCATGCTCGAGAAGAATTGGAGGATACGAAAAAGGAACTCAAGAAGGAACTGGAATCATATGGTCCCAAGGGACCCAGTTGGGACCTTGTCACCTTCTATGAAGAGCTGTGCAGAAGGTTCCTCAAAGGAAGAATAGAAGAACCATATGGAACTAACTTATTGGCCAGCTCAGAGTCCTTGACATTTTTATCCTGGAACTATGGCAACATGGTTCGTGGTCAGAAGTACACCACACCAAGGTTTCTCCAAGGACTTGATAGTGCAATGAGGCCACGCAAACAGAGCGCCATGTCACTTCAGAATGAGCAATTTGAGAACAACCTTTTCTTCAACATGCTCTTCTTTTTACGTGCACATGTCGTGATTCTCCAGGAAGCTCATCTTCTTGTTCCTGCCAAGGAATTTATTGAGCAAAAGAATTGGACAGTTTGTTTCAATGATTGGGAGAATCTTGCAGTGATGGCTAGATTGGCACCAGGTGGATATGTCAAGATCATTGCTGGACATGATCAAGAACTTGGTCACTGTGAACAGCGTGATGTAACTTGGGCTATCTACGAGATTTGTTTTGGAGAAACAAGGCCTCGTCAAGATTTCAAGGATGCAGACTTTGAATTTGATGACTATGGTCCTGAGGACAAGCGTGTTCCACTCACTCGAGCGAACATGCATACCATCAGAGTCTGTAATTATCATGTTGATACACACCGTGCTGTGGATGCCCACCTACTGACAGGAGAACAGACAGCATTGATGCTTTACGAGTGTTTTGCCTATGAGGTGGACATCATGTCTGGTGATGCAAATAGTTTGGCCTACAGAATGTCTGGGTACAAAAGGCAGCCAATGGCTAACTACTATTACAGCACCATGCAGCATTGGATCCGCAGGTTTTCAGAAGCCCGTGTAAAAGCAGATCCTGGTATCAAAGCACCTATTCCCAGAACATTTTACAGTTCAACTTCACAGGTCCTCAAGAAGTGTGAAGTTTACTTTGATAAACTCTGGGAAGAATACTCTACTGTTGAGAAGGAAGAATACCAAGGATCAAAGCTTGGCGATACATGTTTGTCTACCATTGTTGAATGGGGTCATTCAATGAGTGAAGAGGAATATGAAAATTCCACAGTGAGCACGAAGGAGTTCATCTGTAATTTTTCAGAGAACTTTGCTATGATTGATGCAGAGGTTATGTGCTCAAGGCCCACTGACGAGGACAGTCATGGTCCAATGTTTATTTCACTCAGACCAGCTTCCTTTTCATCTGGAGACAGAAGACAGTATCGCATGGGAGCAACGCTTCATGAGGCGAACGTGCGGAGGAAGGAGAGACAGAAGCAGAATAGAAAGAAAGGAAGGCCGCCAACTTCTGGTCAAGCAGCTTCATCGTCTGCAGCGGCATAATTCCTGAGCGAAGGCTGAAATTTAAATGATGGCTAGGAAGTGAAGATACTTCTGGTTACAGTTGATACTTTGCTTCCAGGCTTGACTTTAAGTTGCCAGGCTGAAGTTTTAATAAATTCTGGTTTGCAATGAGGAGAAACTTTTTATCAAAGAAGATACTCCTGCACTCCAGGTTTATACGCTTTAGCATGCAGATAGGTATGGACAGTTTTGCATAACTGATGATATCTATCACAGTCGCTTTTCTGAGATGACCTCTAATGGACAACCAGTCATGGTTGATGATTAAGTCATTTCATGATTTGCAATTGTAGTGCAAGATTTTTTTGTACATACATTTGCCGGTATCTCCTTCTTGTGTTTTTGATGTGAATGTGAAAGAGAGTCCTTTTGATGCAGTTTATTTTGTCTGTGAATGAAAGCGGTCGAGACCACGTCACGAGAAGATTATTCCTCGAACCGTACGCTCCTTGCATTTTGCAAGGCATCTTGATTCATTGCAATTTGTGCGGTCTTGAATTTTTAGTTCTTTGTTACGCGAGTGTCGTTTGATTCTTTTATAGGTCTCTGTAGAGAAAAAGCCGCTTTCCCTTTTTAGTTTGATTTAGCTCAGGCCATAAAGAGCTAGTGAGCGCCGGTACATGGTATCTCCGCCTGCGAAAAGTACAGTCTCCAGCCGAGGTACATTATCGTTTTGATTTTGTACTTGAGGTGAGTCAGCTATTGCTCCCTCACTGTATTTAGTAGCTATGAGATTACCTTCTCCAAAGTGTGAAACACACTGGATTAGGTAAGTACATGGCACCGTAGTTTTCTTTTAAGTTGTCAGAGCTAGCTGGACTGTTTTAGCCTTGCAGTAGAAAAAGAGTATGCGACATACGCAATCAGCTAGAAGTGGACATGAATCTTGTGCCTGCTGAAAAGTAGAGCCTACCTGTACAGGGTTCCACTCCAACAGCTGATATAGTGTGTCCATGCTTGACTGCTTCAAGGCTCAAAGAGCAAGAGGATAAGACTCTGCGCATAAAAGACACTAGCGGTCTGCACCTCTACCGTGTACGCCCTAGTCACTCTTTCACCCCCCCCCCTCGCCAGCCGCGTCCCCGCGCCACCCTGTCCGCAACCCCGCCCCCGCTCCGCGCCCACCCAAGCCCTTCCCCACCTGCCCCGTCCCCGCCCCCGCAGCGCAACCTGCCCAGCTGCCTACCGGCCCAGCTACCAAATCAAGGGCATGCAAACAGTTGTCCTTTCGGGCCTTCGTATTCCAACGGCTGTCTCAATTGACCTTTACCAACGGACAAATCGAAAAGATAAGAAACATCAAGAAACAAAGACAGAGAAAGAAAGAGAGATAAAGAGAGCGCGAAGGAGTCCGCGCTTCCTTTGTTGTGGCAGGGGATCAATCTAGCCATTTTTTTTGCACTTTGGTGTGCTTTTTTTGGATTGCATCAACCTAGTCTCTTTTTTTGCATTTTTGGGTTGCTTTTATTTTGGATTGTTTTTGCATTTTTTTCAAAGTGGGCATTTCCTAGTGGAAGCCCACAAGAAAACAACACAACCCTAAACCAAACGTACCCCTAGCAGCAGTGAGGACACAAACTCACATATCCCAAGCCTCCCCGGTACTGGAAATCGGGCGGCCAGTTCACGCTGAGTCATTACGAGCGAGTCAGAAGTTTCAGCTTTTGACTCACCTCCATACGGTAACGTCAAAGCCATCAGGGAGCCCCTGAACCATCTCCACCAATGTTGGTTATCACACGAGGGCTGTTGGGGGCTTCTTATTCGAGATTGAAACATAGTTTTCAGACAGATCACAAACATCGCCTGTCTATCGGGGTGTCATCAGGCGATGTTTGTTTGCCTTCCATCAATCCCAAGCTCCAGAACCTGTTTCACCCCCACCGACTCTCGGCTTCCCAACCGCAATGATCCCCAGAGGAGACCGTGGAGAAGGCCATGGTGGCCTTTTCCGTGGAGCCGCTGCAGGTGGACGTGACACCTGGCGCTCGGAAGGTCAACACGGAGGAGAAACTCCGCCATGAGCGGCAGAAGGTCTGGGAAGCCGAGCAAGCAGAGAAACGCCTGCGAGAGGCCCGGGCAGGACATCTACGGCGTATACGGCGCGATTTGTTGGTGGCGCGCAGCGCAACCGGGACGGTTGGTGGGCGGAAGAGGTGAGGTTGGACGAGTTGATTCACCTGACTTTTGGGTGAAATGGTGGTGGTGATCGATTGCAATGAGAAACTGGTTGAAGAGTTGCCAAAAAGAAGGGTCGAAACAATGGTTCAATGCTGGTGGAATGTTGTTGCTGCGCTAACAACAACTTTCTTCGCTCACCATAAGAATAGTATCTCATTCCATTTTGGGCCCATGCAATCCTCGAAGTGGAATGCCTATTGAGGGGAGACATCCAACCAATGGTGGTCTTTGGGAGGTCTCCCTGGTTTAATATCGAATGATCAACGTCGAATGGAGGCATGGCAGCGCGGACCCCACTCCATGCACATCCATCAATGCGGTATCGACAAAATGCCCAACAAATCTAAAAGGCACATTTAGTTCATGCAACACAATCTAATGTATACTTTAACTTTAGAACATACAAATGTGCCATTCAGAAGGCTGCCGACAACGAACTGGTTTCCCGGTCTCAAGCTGAGACCACTTTCCAGGGCCGATTTTTTGCGGAACCCAGCGACCTGTTTTCAGCACAGGTCCAGTTACCGCAGCTGAGCTCATTTGAAGACTTGGCGGAAGACGCTGGGCGCCAGTGATTCGCCGGTGTCGTGACCATTTGCAGTGTCGTTGGTGGTCATGCAAACCGGCCGCGCCGGTGATTGGAGATATTTGGGAAGGCCCAAACTGGGGCTCCAAGTTCCAAGCATGTCCGAAAGAATGAAGGTAGTTAGACCCCGAAAACCCAACCACCTTCGACACGGAGGGAGTTGGAGTCCTAGGAACCTATTGTAAATGAGACTGCATTCGCTTTGGGTGTATTTCATGGGGCATCAACTTCGGCCAACTCGCCGTCTCTCCACCCCGCTAGCACTCACCAGTCCCCGAAATGGTCGAAAATATGTGTTTAACCTTGACTTTCAATATCTTTCACTGATTGATCCCACTGTGTCCATATTTCAAGTAAGTTGAAGCTGCAGTACATGATGGTTGGGGTCCTGCAGACAGCTAGTGCTGGCACCTTTGTCGCGGACCCCACGAAAAAACACCACATGACGACGTCAACTAGACATCACCTGTCGTCAAGATACGGCTCCCACAGGACATCAAACCTCCCAAACGGTGCCCCGATCGACCTGGGTTCCGCTGCATGACGCTGGTGCAGGATATGACGCTGCACCGATCCCTGCGCCTCACCACCGTGGCGGCCTCGTTGCAGTGGCTGCGGCGTTTGCCCTTCGCACTGCGCCGGCACGGGGCTCCCGTGGCCCCGGAGGAGTTGCCCGCTGTAGCCCGGGCAGAGGTGCAGGAGATTTGCCAGCAGAGCCTACCGCATCTCATGCGCCTCGGCCGCATCTCAAGGACAGGTTCAGAGGGAAGGCCGAAAGCCTTAGAAAGCATCAATCAGACTCTCCAGCCAGATGGCATTCACAGTGCCCATGATCAGGGGTTGTAGCTAGTTGAGCTTCAGTCTCGGATTGAGGGATGGGGGTGTTTGATGGTGTTGTTTTTGCTTTTGGTCACTTCTTCGCACAGACTGGGCATAGCCCAAACCTCTGGAATGATACGTCATGTTGACATGGAACATGTGGATCCTTCCCTCATAGAACGCTCATATGAACGCTCTATCCTATCGCACCCAAGGTTGGTGCTTGAACGAGAACCGTAGGATTGATCGGACCCTGCATAACTGCCGGGGGTACTTTTGGTGCGGAAAGATCATGAAAGATTTCCCCCCTGCTGAGCCTGCTCCTCAGAGGCATTCTCTTGCATGGCCCTGTTCCAATGCATCGAGCCACCGGAAACACTTAGCTCACCGTAGGTCAACCTATGACTGTTTGAAATCGTTTGACTTTAGATGGTGATAAATATTTGTTACAAGGGTCCTTCTCTTTTTCTGTCTTGCAACTGGTGAATTGTCGTAACTTTGCCTAGATGTCCAGATATGTGTTTGGAGGGATGCTTGTGAAGCATGGACAAGATACGGAGCTGCGTTCCCAACTCAACCCCCGACTTGATGGCCTCTTGTATGTCAGAAGAATGTTGGTAGTGTTCCAAGTTAAGGGCACCCTGGCGTTCACAACAGGACGTAGTGGTCCCCGAACAAATCAAACTATAGATAGTGGCACGGTTTCCAATACAATTTTGGATTTCTTTAGTGCATGGGGATTTACTTTTCTTTCTATTTGGGGGTCTGTATAGTTGGTGCCGTGCTATTGTCCAAGTTCAAAGGTGTATCACTTGGTCCAACGCTTGCGCTTTCGGAAGTACGGTCCAATTTCCGCTGGGCCACGGGGGCGGGGGTGCAAGTGACTCGAGTGATGGCAGGTTGTTAGCCCCTAATCCTCTTGGGGGTCGGGTCGTGCATATCTGGTATACTGTGGCATGCTGTATACTTGAGCATCTTGAGCACTGACCTCCCCTCCCCCTGAATCTCTATCCAGAATCTCCAGCCTTTTTCTGGGCACTCTTGTGGTTCGAAAGCTTTTTCCTGCCCCAGTTGCGTCACTTAGGACTGAACCCAGGCGTGCGGTGTGCTGGTTGTCCAAGATCGCCAGTTTCCTCACCTGGTACGAACTGGAGGGGCCGGCACCACCACCCGGGCAGCCGACAGCCACTGGATGAAATGGGCCTAGTCAGGGTGATGGGATATTTTAGATAGACTTGTTTTTTCCTTGGTAGATGGTGCAGGTTTGACCGTCATATGACAGACTTCAAGATACTTCAAGAGTCATGTTTTTCTTTTCTCAGTGGTGGATGCTTGCCAGCACCTGAATAGGTCATTGATGGTCATTGTGTGGCGGCCAGACTCTGCTGACCAAGCAAGTGCTGGGAGAGCATACTTTATCAGAAGCTCTGCATGTGTGTTAGAATGAACCAGATGAGCGGGAAAAAAACAACACATATCATACTTTATTTCAGTATCTCAGTGGGACGTCCCATGGTTGGTTTTCTAGATGGTTCTTTTATTGACAGCTAGGGCAGTTCCTTTAGAAGCCAAATCAGCCTCATTATACAGGAATCCTTTGACAAGGTGATGGAATATGGTACCCAACTAACATTGCATGTGCTACCCACGTGCACAATTGTGCCTCAAAGCTGCAAATTTGCTAACATTTTTGAGATGCAAACGGGACTGGCAGACCTTTCTGAAACAGTCAGTCGGAACGAGCAACTCCGCAAGTCCACTTTGTGGGCATGCAAACAAATGCGTCCATCTTGCGTCGGAGCATCCAATTGGTTACCCGGTTGGGAGGTTGAGAAAACCTGACCAGACCCCGGACACCCCTTAGGGGGCTCTGGTATGGCATAGGCTATGGGGCTGTTCAACCCTGCGAGGTGTGTGACTGTAATCTGATGCCCAAGCTTACTTGGAACCCGCTGGGTTCGACAACAGAATCCCACATGACCAAACACCCTAGCTTACAGCAACTTCCTGCCCTTGCGGAATGGTAAATGATGGTGGATACACGTGGACTCCCTGGTGGACCACGTCTAGGTTCTCAAGGAGGCCTTCAATGAGCCAGAGCAGAAAGTGCGGGAGTGGGATGAATCCTACCGGAGCTTGTGGCTTCTGCTTCGGCAAGGCGATTGGTGCGATTGGTGCGCCCTTGTTTCTGGACTCACAGCGGCGAAGACATGGCAAGATGAGTAGATGGTGCAAGTCACATGGACAATCCCCAAAAGGGTGCATGTATCGTACTTTTCAGACCAAATCCCTGTCTTTGTGCCACTCTTACTACGATTAGACCCACCAGTAGTTGAACCTGACCAGGTCTACTGCCAAGCTTTTGCGCCTCGGCCATCCTCAATGACCCCGTCTTTGAACACTGACCGGTTGGGAGGGCCCCTCCGTGACTTCCAATGACCCAGCGTACGCAGCTGCTTTGTCTTTGCTATTTTGGGATCAACTATGCACGCATATGCATGCCAAGCTATTTTGAAAACAAATGGTTGGTTCTATCATGATCTATCTAAAAAGAATATGTGTTGGTCCAGTTGTTCATGATTGAGGGCAGGGGGTGTTCAGCGATGCATCTTCGGAGAAAGGCCAGCTGCGACAAATACTGTAGAATCTAGGCCCTAGGCGAGAGTTGTGAAACAAAACAACAAAACAAGTAGAGCTGGGCAATGCAGGAAAGTTGTTGGTTCGAGGCTTTCAGTTGCTGGTGGAAGCAATCCGCCTGTGACACGGTGCTTCCTCAAGCCCTTCTTTTGTAGGTAAGCTTCCGATTTCTACAGGAAGAAAGGTGATCCCGAGACATGACATATGGAAGATCAGTGTCATGCTGGCATTGTGTGTGTGTGTGTCATGGGAAGCAGTCAGAGACGTCTGACTGTGTTTGCCGGATTTGGGCTGCCTTCCCGGTGTGCTCAGGGCCATTTTCTGAGGTCACAGGTTCGTTTGAGCTAGCTGTGTAATGCAGTAACTAAATCTCAAGGGGTAGTGGATCTATGGAATCACATTGAACCTCGCTCACATGAGCTCTTTCTCAAACATATGTGTCCGTGTGTGTGCGGGAGTCCAGCTGTTTGCACTCCAAGGCATCGAATCGGAGCGTTTCTCAGTGACCGTCTTTGGTGAGGGCTCTGACAGTTGGAGTGCCTCGGCCACCAAAACCTGCAGAAACACCCGAACCTCTCATGGCTTCTCAGATTCCCACCTTTCTAGACCTTCCACATGTTTCACTTCCACCTCCAAAACGCCCCGACACTGTGAGGCCAAAGGCTTTGGTTCACCTCAAGCCGCCTCACTCCACCCAGGTGGTGAAGCCTTGGGCACGGTGAAGCCTTCTGCGTCGGAGCCAATGGCGCTGATCTTCCCCTCCACCCGTGAGCTTCGCACGCTGCTGCAAGACACCGGTCGCAAGACGGTAGAACGACGAGACAGACACCGGTCGCATCGGTGGACACCGGTCGCATCGGTGGTCTTTTTTTCAACACAGGAGTGTTCCGGAGAAGTGTATGAAATTGAGACGGCGATAAGTGGGCGGAATGCACAAGTAGTCTAGACAGTATAACTATATATATATATAACTATATATTACGTTTGTCCTCAGTTTGTGGACAGCAGTCGGAGAGGGATATATGTTGAAAGGATCTTGGAGGCAGTCTTGGAGGCCCTGATTGGAGCTTCACATTGGTTGGGAGTGACTGGAGGTTTGCTCTAGTATGGGCCTTTGTGAAGCTTACGGGACTGTGGCTGCGTGGTCAGCACAGCTCAGCCACGTTGCCACTTTGTCCGTTTTGCCAGATGTCTGACATCTTTGTTGCCCATGTGTTATTTAATCAGTGCCCAGGCACAAGGGTGACCTTCCAACAGTCGCCCCTTTCTGACCTTATCTCCCGATCACGAGATGAGCGGAGGTTTCTGCTCCATTTTTTCAGTGTGGTGTGGACCTTAAACTTGATTCTGCCAGAGTCACGTATGTCGGTCACCTTGTTTTGCAGACACTGGCGTTGTTGGGAGCTTCTAATTGAATAGGCCAAGGAAAGAGGAAACGGCGGGCTGCTTGGGGAGAGTCCGGCTACAGCCATGTAATGCGTCACGGCAACCCCCTCGGCGTGCCCCAGGGGGTATCGTGTGACCCATTTTACCCGTTCACGCGCGGGGCACTTGCCCCCCAGTGAACGGGACCCTGCCCATCCGTGCCCTATGCCCTACGCCCTATTGGTCAAGCAGTGATCGGTGATCACTGATCATCCACTTAGATCAACAAGTGATGTGAAGCTATGATATGTGAAGCAAGGGGAAGCTAAATGAGTGCATGTGAAGCTATGATATGTGAAGCAAGGGGAAGCTAAATGAGTGCAGTAGGTAGCGACAAGAGAGTACCGCAACAACACTTTCCCTCCCAGCCCCAAATATGACTTAGCATTGGCCTGTTGACCATCCCTGTCCAAACCTTTGTGCACTGCACTGCTACACGGGGATGATTGAAAGTTGAAGCGAGGAAAGAGGTTTCTCCAAACAAGACGACCTTGAATGGAAAGGTCTCGTCCACTTTTTTGCACAGCCAAAGCGGCTTCTTGTTCACACCGTCTTTTTGGATGGTTCACCATGCTCATCAACCCCAGTGCGGCAGAAAACAATGCAAGAACAAAAACATGAATTCCCAACCGTCGTGACCTTCGTGTTCCAACTAAGGAGAATCATGCACACTTCCAAGTGCCTTTGGCAGACCCCAAATCGGCGACCTCGGCCCCGCGGCTTCCGGGCCGTGGCGACGCGTCCGCGTCGGTGTCCGAGTCCACCCTGGCCGAGCTGCGAGAGTTGCGGCGCGATGGGGTGAAAGCCACATCACCCAGTGACTCGAGAGATCGGACCGGGACGCAGGGGTGGGCGGTCGGTTTTTTGGGAAGGTTTTAGGGCCGTTTTTGGGGCATGTGGATGTATAGGGTTTTGGCATGTTTTGGCTGCTTCCCCCAAATTTTTGGGCCGATACGCATTCTAGTTGAGATGATCGCCTGGTCTGTTCTTGTTGGTTTCCTCATCACAGGTCAGTTGCCCCGCTGATGGTGCCGGTGCAATCAGAAGTGGCTAGTGGAACCAAAACTGTAAGAGTTTCAATGGAGTTTTCTCTCTCACGAGGTCACCATTAGGCCATATGGGATGCCACAGGGGCTCCTTGTTTGCATAAGGGACGAGCGTCACACATTGTTGTAATTCAACTGCGCTATGTCCTCCAAGGTGACGTTCTGCTGAACGACTCTTGCCTGAAATCTTGACACACACGGGTGGATTCCCATTTCAGCGGTTTGTAGTTATTCCACTGCTCCACCATGCCAAACACCAGGAGAGTTTTGTGGGTTATTGTGGTTTGCCGCATGGTTTCCATATTTTGCTTCATTTCCATATTCTGCTATTTCATCCGTATACAGTATTTGGCACCTAACTTGTGGACATCACAAGGACGTGTCGCAGACCTCTGCGCTTTGGTTCCATGGCGCCTGGCGAGTGCATGCTCTGTTGGATGTCTTGCGCCACGGCCTCTTCGCTCCGCCGGGGCACGCCGCCGCTCCGGGCACTCCGGCGGCGCGGTTGCCCCGGTTGGTGTCACCCGGGTCCTTCGTGAATGCCAGCGTCAAGACGGCAGAGGCGGGAGGATGGGCAGGTGGTCCTCCGTTAGCATTTTTCGTTGGAGGTTGTTGGGTGTCCAGTCCAAGCTTGAAGACACTATCGCAGTTGGCATTCAAGACAGACGACAGAGACGACAACCGAGGAGCGTTCTGTCTATATTTGGGAATTCACGTGCTTTCATCAGCTGTCACTATATCAATATCACGATTGATGACATCGCCCCCAATCCATCGATGCGAAGGGCGAAGGGTGGCCAGTCAATGCACGTTCTGCCCAGTGCCTGCTTTGTAGGCATGCCGTTTTGGTTCCAAACAGATTGTTTAAATCTCACTAATGGGGATCCAGCCATATCCAGCCTGTTGTTCATCACATACACTGCTTTTGGTGGTGTCTTCTCATGTGACCCCAGCTAATATGTTGCGCTTTTGCGCATTCCGAAGTACTTGTCAGTTTCGGCTGCCTCCGACTGTGGGCTCGGCTCAATGACCCCAACATCGCCGCGACCATTGGCGCCCGGTCCCTGAGCTCAGCCAGGTCGTCAAGCTCACAAAGCTCGGAAATGAATCCATCGCGGAGATCCGAGGGTGCTTCTTCCCCCAGCAGCTGCGACGCTTCTTGCAGCTTCTGCCAGCAGCTTGGAGAATCAAGTGGCAGCCGTGGACTCTGTGGGAGAGAGAGGTCTCATTTTGCATTTAAACCCAGGAAAAAGATGTGGACTCTTCCGCCTGACCGGGAGTTTCCAAGTTCCATGGGCTTTCGAAGCCCATGGCAAGTAATCCCAGGCAGCCTTATTGACATATTATATATGAGGCGGTATACATAAGACATTGAGGGGTCACCTGACTGCATCACCCATGATTGTGTATAAGTGTTGAACAAGTCGTTGGAACCCAACCAATAAGTGGGTGTGTTTGGAGCTCCACTGTGAACTAGCATGTCCAAGAAGTGCGAGCTGAATCCATGGGGTCTCGTGTTCATTGCAGGTGTGCATTCATGTCCAACACCCAGCGGCAGATTGTGGTATTCAGACTTCGGAGATGCCAAAGCCTAGAAAGATCTCCCCAAATGGTGAGTGCTGTGTGACTTTTCTGGGACATTTCAGAAGTGGTTAAAATATGTGAAACAAAAATATACAGTATAATATCTATACATATATTGTTTGTTAAAATGCCCTATGCCGTGTGTTCAATTTGGGATACCTTTGACAATGGATGCCTTTGACCCTTTTCCAAGCAGGCGGATGTGTTGTTCCCTACCCATTTGGTCCCAGGTGAGCCTGGCCAAGTTCAGCTGTGAGCCTCTTGGATAAGTCATGAATCCATGCATGCACCACCACCACCACCACCACCACCACCACCACCACCACCACCACCA